TTTTTAAAACTTTCTTAGACAATCGAAAAATACGAAAGAAATTTGGGGGAAAAAAGTAGCGTTCCAAAAAGTGTTTTACCTTAAAAGAACTCGCATAAAAATGAACAAAAAAGAACGGCCTTAAAACCTACAATTTTAATCTCGATCTCTGTACAGAGGATCTGGGTGAAGACGTCAAATTCTTTGACGACAAAGGGCAATCTCAACCCCTTTTTCCTCGATCCACGCCTCTTAAGTGCACGCGAAACTGCATCGTGTGTAATACACGGTGTACCGTGAGACCACTCCTTAGTCATAGCCGCGTCGAGTCAGCCACTTTCGATGCGAAAAGAAGGGTTGAGAACCATTGTTCTCGATCGGCGTTGGCGTTGGCCGCCAACATGGGAACAGAACACGGCTCGGCCCCCACGACGGAAGGACTCGATCCAATTTGCTCGATAAATCTGCGCTGATTTCAACGTAACGAGGGTCTCGCGCTTGATGCGTGGCACGCGCTTTGTCGCGTGCTCGCTTCGTGGCCGAGCGGACAAAGTGGGAAAGGAAGAAGGGGGGAAAGAGAGAAGAGCAGTGACGAGAGATGAAGGGGAGGGGAGAGGGGGAAGGGGCCAGACTTCGTCAGGACAGGAGCAATTAAAAGTATGGGATCCATTCTCTTTTCTACGAACGATGGGGGAGCGATAGTTTTAAAAGCAGGCCTTCATTAGCAGAACGGTTCAATTAACGAGGGAATCGTTCGTGCGTGACGATTTTTTTTTTTATTCTAATTTCTTTTTTTCTTTCTTTCAATAGAGACAGAGATAATCGCTTTCGAACGCTGGCAGTTGGAGCAAAGAACTATTGGAACAATGATGAATCTTGGATCGATTCAGGCAGAAGAATAATCCTTGTTGATCGATATGACAGCACGATGTTATTATATTTACGTCATCATTTCGTACTATGATTTTTCTTGCGAACTATTGTACTATCGTAAATGACGATAGATGAATTATTTTCATACGAATGTTAATATTAATCATTGAAAATCATTGAAAATAGAAACTCGATACGATATAGTTTCGCTTAAAAGATTGTTATATCCTGTTACCAACAACAGTGATGTATGAATATATAACTATACCAACTAATTAATCGAAGTGGAATATAACACACAATATCCAAAAATAATCCATCTATAATTAAATCTCCCAATTTCTTCATCTCAATTCTTCGTTCTCCTATAATCTTCCGGCTCGACTGTGATATAATTTATAAATTCGAGGACGCCACTTCTAAGTCATCCACCCCCATCTGTTTACGCTCCCAATCCCTCCTCACTCGTGTAGTAGATTTTCTAATTACGTTCAATTAACGTTCCTCCCGAACACGCATTCGTTCTATCGGCCGTGTATCGATACGCAAAAACTCGTTAAACTTCGATCGATTATAATCGTTCCACTCTAATTAAGGGCGCAACACCAAAAGCCTCTCTCTCTCTCACTATCTTACCTTCGTCAAACGGCCGTATCATAGCGAGTGTTTCATCGACTTGGCGATAAATCAACGCTTCCTCGTTACGCTGTCTCGGATAATTGAACGACGCTGTTTGATGGAAATGCATGTTCTTCTCTCTCTCTCTTCGCTTATTCGCCGTACAACGCTATGGTTCACGTTTATGGCCCGTTTAACGCTCGAAATTCGAGAGAAGGCGCGGGTGTCGTCCAATTTTTATTAAAACAGATTCGATAAAACAGAAATTACTTCTAATTACGTAATTAATCATCGTTTCTAACTTTTTCCATAATTCCTACGAGGAGTTTTAATTGGTATAGTCAAGTATTTTTGTAAAAGAAGAATTATAAAAGTTTTAGCAAGAGATTGTAATCCAAAAGTTCACGTTCACATTTTTACGAATAATACATCCATGTTCCAATATCAACATAATATCATTGATTTATATCACTTCTTTACAGATCGACACTAAATATTCCACCTAAACAGAGCGCAACAAGTATGTAACCGATAATTAATCTCATAATGAAGTCTCCAATAGTTGTTAAATTAACCCACACGGAATCGGAAACCGGTATTCTCTCTTTCTCTCTGTCTAACACGAATAAGAAGCATAGAGAACAGGATTTATCGTCCCCTTTCCATTTCTTCCTGAATCCTATCGAGGAGAGGAAAAAGGAAAGCGTAAAAAAAAAAAAAGAAGGCAAAGATCCACGTGCCGGGGGGACGTGGACGATTGATGATCCCCCTTCGGTGATGTCGCCGCGTCCGGTCTTTGGAAGCGTCCGAGATACGCCATTTTCTCTCTCTCGAGAGAGAGAGCCCACACGTCCGCAACGAAACCGTGGAGAGACGGGAGAGCAAATAATAACGAGGATAATCAATCGGCCGTAGGAAGGAAAGGAATCCTCTGGGGGGGAGGGACAGGATGGGCGCGGCGGGAAATACGTTGGACGAACGTACGCCTCTGCCCTCTTCTTTTCGTCGCAGATATCGGATCCTCTCTCTCTGTTCGTTCAACGAGTCAACCTGTTTTACGCGCATGCAATTTTCATCCACGATGATCGGGAAACCGCCACATGGCGGTTTTAAACGAACACGAAGAAGCGATCGGGGCTGTTTTAAATCGGTTAATGACGTTTAATCTTACCTGTGCCGCGTTTAACAGGCTAGACTGGAGATTAGAACGGTTTCTTTTTGGATCTCGCATGATTCGCGATGACGGATGATGGTGTAATGAGATTATCGATAGGGGTGAAAATTGTTTGTTTGGAAAGGAGTGGAGAGACGTGTTTTTAAATACGATGAATTTTGAAGATATTTCGGTATAATTTCGGATTTAAAAGAGTGGATCGAAGAGAAATGCATCTTGAATTCGTGGACCGAAATGGATTTGGATTTATCGAAAAATTTTCGATGTATAAAATTAATTTATATCCGAATGCTTCTCATCCCGATAAATCTAGTATGGTCTAGTTTAAATGTCCTGGTAATTGTTTACTTCGTGTTGCATCACGTTGCATGTCATCGAGTCCAATTTAAGGATTGACATGTTGAATTGAAGCGTTTAATATACCAATGATTAGGGTAACGTCGAAACTATTTTAAGCTTTGGACGAAAGGGACCTATTACTTTTCAACTCGATATCACGAGAACATTACATCCAGAAAAGGAAAATATTAGGAATTAAGATATAAATATTCTCAATTTCTCCTTCGTGTCATATATATATCATGAATGAAGAAATTCAGTATAATAAAGTTTCGAAAATTTAATTTAAAATTCTTTCTTTTTTTTTTTTTTTTCCAGAGACTTTCTCGCGAAGAAAAGATGTTGAACGTTGGGGCGCTTCCGGTACCACGTTAGTTCCCCCCGCTGAGAGGATTTTATACCGTGTGGGTTGCCGCTGACCCCAACGGGTTGCTGAACCCTGCTCACACGTTGCCCATCGTGCAAATGCTTATCGTATGGAATCCCATCAGGAGAGCAACTTTTATCTACGCAATATCAATAAATACTAATTTAATAGTAATAAAAATCGATGATTTGTCGTCGCTGCGAGCAAGTTTCACCGCAATTCACGAAACGAGATATTGAGGATAAGTGGTTTTCTCAAGTGATTGACCAACATTTTAGAAACTGAGATTTCTGAATCTCACGTTTTATTTTTTTTCTCTCTCTCTTTCTCTTTTGAATAATTTTTCTTTCGATCACTTTTTAAATTACATTCTTCAAATTTTTCGTCGACATTTACTCGTCGCATCGATCGTTTTGTTAAAAATCTATATATATATATATAGGAGAAAATATGTAGAAGGATAATGTTATTGAAGATTTATGACACGAATATGACATTTCTTTCTTCCCAGTGAAGAAGTCGTTCAATTTCTAAGAGGTTCATCCAATTCCAACCGTGAAATTTCTTTTCGACGCATTAAAAGCCGAGTGATGGACACAGAAATTCCTGAAGAAACCGCGTGAAAAGTGGACCAGGACGCTTTCGAAAATAATAATCATCTGTTACAATGACTCGACATGCTCGTGAAGCGAACTATGCTAATGCTCGTTGGTGAACGTCATTAAAGAGGAAATACGATCCACTCTCTTCAAAAGTTTTCTTTTTTTTCTTTCTTTTTTTTTT